GGCGAATTTTAACTGATTGACCTGTCGCCTGGAGATCAGAAAAGATCTTCTTCGTGAAGACGAGAGGTACAACTAGCAGTGAAAGGGAAAAAGACAGCATCAAGAAATGGCTTGGAAACAAAACGCCTTCTACTCAAGTGTGATATGTCGGGACAAGCAAGGCGGCAGCGAAAGCAATGGCGAAAGCCAAAGCTAATTCCTGGGTAACGTTCGGTGAAGTGTAGGAGTCGAATTTCCACACGGCAAACGAGGTACTGTCACAGAACAACCACCGGCTCCAAAATGAAAAGAAGTATAGTCTAAAAGTCTTGACATCCTCTCACCAAGGATGATGATATTCTTCAGCGATGGAGAGAGTACTTTGAGGATCTCCTTAAAAACCGAATTACCGCAGGAAGACTCGCCTGTAGAACAGCGAGAAATGGGTATTACGATTTCTGTCGATGAAATTACACAAGCTGTGAAAAGCTTGAAAAATGGAAAGGCTGCTGGAATTGATGAAATCCGCCTTGAAATGCTCAAGGTATTAGGCTAACAAGGCATGTGCTGGCTTACCTGTGTGCGTCAAACTGCGATGACTGCGGGAATGACACCAGCGGACTGGAGAACGGGAGTTATTGTACCCGTATTCAAGAAGAGAGACCACAAGGGATGCTCCAATTATAGGTGCATTAAGTTAATGAGTCTCCCAGGTTAAGTCTACGCAAAGGTGCTAGAAAGGAGGTGCAGTGAAATAGCTGACCTCAAGAGCCAAGAAGAGCAGTGTGGCTTCCGGCCCGGTCGAGTCACCTCTGGCCATATATTTGCCCTGTGCCAGGTTGTTGAGAAATCGTGGGAGTGCGCCCCTTCGGTGTGCATGTGTTTTGTTCACCTAGGAAAAGCCTATGACCTTATGCCACGCGACAATCTGCGGTCATGCCTTCGAACATACGGGATAGATGACCAGTTGCTAAGGCCCATCCAATCGCTGCATTCCGATAGCAAGTGCTGCACCAGGGTAAATGACTTCAAGTCGAAACCATCCAGCGTTCGCACTGGTGTCGGCCAAAGCTGCGTTCTGTCTCGCATCCTTTGTGTTGTACATGGATAGAATAGTTAGGCGGAGCCAAGGCGATGAGTGTATCGGTGTAGAAGATGTGGAGACGAGTACGCTGCTATTTGAAGACGACATTGTTTTATTAGTATCTTCTGAAACTTATCTACAGTGGTCCCTGGGAAGGTCCTCAGCCGAGTGCGACGTGACCGGCATACGTTTGGGCGCATCTAAAGCGAAAATCCTGTGCTTTTTCGTTCTCCTGCCCGTTGCTCTCTTCAGATTAGGTCATAGACAGTGGAGTAGGTTGAGTCGTATTTACTAGTGATGGAAAATTAGAGGAAGAGATCGACCGGCGAATTGGAGTAGCCAGTGGCGTTCTGAGAGAACTAGCCCGACCCATTGTGACTAAAGCAGAGTTCAGTCTGAAAACTAAGCTCTCAATACTCAAGTCGATCTTTATCCCCATACTTACCTACGGTCATGAATC